GTTTAGGCTTAAATAGCAATAATTAGATAAAATATTATTAATTTTATTGAATCAGAAATGATAAAATTAGCTATATTTAAAATCGACAAATAAATCAAAAAGAAATATATTACGGAAATCTTACATTTTTGTGACAGCAACAAAATATCCTAGATCGAGTAAATTATTAATAATATTGGACGCTAAGAGGAAATTTTCATAGTAAAGCACTAATTTGGTTTCTTATTAGCACTATTAATGAGGTTTTTGATGAAGTGCGACAATTACTAATTTTTCGCACTCTGTCAAAAACCTCATTAATACCTCGTTAATAGTGCTAATAAGAAACTAAATTAGTGCTTTACTATGAAAATTTCCTCTTAGCGTCCTATATTATTAATAATTTACTCGATCTAGAATATTTTGTTGCTATCACAAAAATGCAATGTAGTTTTCAAAAATTTTAAAAATCAATATTATTATTTATTTTCAAACTAAATTTATTCAACTGAAAAGATATTAAGCAGTATATTTAAACAAAATAATGTAGAACCAGTTATATTTCCTATGTAGAGGTTGGAACCGGTTTTAATAATTTGAGTTTATCATGTGAATTTTGTGATATTTTAGAATTTAACCCAATTAAATTTTAATAAATTCTAAAATATCACAAAATTTACGTGATAAACCCAAATTATTAAAACCGGTTCCAACCTCTATTCCTATGCAAGTAAATTTATTGAATATAGTTATTTAAATAATATTTTTTGTAGTAGTTCCTTTGTTAATTCATAGTTCTAATGACTTTATTAAATCTTTAGTTAAATTTTCAGTATCACCCATTTTGTTATACGATATTGCACGAAAATAATATATTTCTGCACTTGGATTAATTTCCAACGATTTTGTGAAATCTGCAATAGAAATTTCATATTGCATAATTAAGAAATACAGTAGGTTGCACACGATTATTTAAAGTTATGAACATTATTTGGTTAGTTTCTAATGCTCTATTTAGATCTCCAAGTGTAGCTGTATATTCACTCATCATTCGAATCAATATCTAATGACTGACTTTTATAATCTTTAAATCATCAAAATTGGCAATGATGTTAATATTTTAATGAAAGTTTTTAGTACTAAATTTTATTAATTATTAATTTTCAAAAATTTTTTTAATTATAATATTTTCAAACTAAAATTATTTGCAAGAAGCACTTTTTCAGAATACTTCAAAAAAGGTGATAGTTAGTCATTTGTCATCATTAAGAGCCGAAGGGAACAAAATTAAGCAAACTTAAAAATAAACTCAAAAGAAAAAGTTGAGAACGACTCAGTAGGTAGGCTCACATTCTCGGCTGGCTTAGTAAGCTCACGACCAGAAATAAAATTTTAAGTAGCGAACGTTTTATAAGGTAAAAGAAAAGAAACTAAGAACGTTTTGCTTCTCTAATTTAGTAAATTAAGATATTCTTTAAATAGATTCTTACACTTCATCACCAATACAATATAATAAATTTATTAAAGGTAAATATAAATACTATTTACATTAACATGAATGAATTAATTTATTTGCAAGTAAATGTAAACACTTTTGAAAGTCCGATTACATTTCCATGAATGAATTAATTCATTACAATATTATTTGTATCAGATACTAAGTTACTACATTTTTATGAATGAATTGATTCATTTGCAAGTAAATGTAAATGCTTTTGCAAGTTCAATTATATTTCCATGAACGAATTAATTCATTTCAAATAAATGCTAAGACAATTATATTTTCATGAATGGATCAATTTATAAATAAAATATTACTCTAGTTCGTAGTCAGAATTTTCAGGCGTGTCCCAACCATTTTCTGAATCTGATAGTTCCTCAACGTTTTCTTTTATGAATGAAGATAAGATTTCTTCTACATGTTCTGATGATGTGCTACTTGAATCGTCTCTTGGGCTACTTGAAGGAGTAGGGTTTGTAATTGCACATCCATCTAACAATATTTTGGTAAATTCGGTATCTTGTATTATATATGGATTGTTTCGTGCCTTTTGCTTTAAGTATTCATACAATCCTTCAATGAACTTAGAGATAATATTAGGAATATAGAGATATATAGGGTAGAAATTTGTGTGTAAATTTCTGATATGTAATTTTTTTGTTATTTAAATAACATTGTCCAGAACTTTATAGAGCTAGCACACAAAGTCTAATAATGCTAGCAAAATTTTTGTAATGCAGATCAATAATCATGTGCTACTATATTAATTAATATAAAGGTTAGTACGTACGTATAATTTGTAATTTTATTGAATTTATTATGCCAAAATAATAACTTAACCAGAACGGATGAAAAAATTATTCAGAAGATTTTTTATTATAGTCAGGCATATTACCAAAAATGGAAATCTATTCTAGATCGTTCCATTTAATTTTAATTAGCTTATAGCCACATTTTTCGATTACATTTTGTGGCTTTTTGCCATATATGTTTGTGACAAAAAATTTTATAAACAAAAAGCAAAACGTTCATAGTTTCATGATCTGTAGTAATCTTTTCTAGATCTACACTTTGAGCAAAAGTGTATAAGACCTGAAAAAAGTTTATGTTTTACTATTCAAAATTTACAATTTGATAAGCTTATTAACATATAACTCAGCTTCTGAGATATAACTTAGCTTTTGATTTGTGTAATCAAATCGTCTGATCTACATTTCTATACTATAAAAAGGGTGATCTATATTGCCCATTTTTGGTAATATACCCGACTGTATTAGGTGTAGTCACATTGCTTCGGTACTATGGATGCAGACTTATTTATATCACTAGTTACGGCTCAATTGTATTTTATTTTATGACCTGATTTTTTATATAGGATGTAACTAGGTGATGTCATAAGTCTGTATCTATATTCGGTACTACTACTCTACAACCTCAACAATCCTTGAATCCTATATATATATTTAATTTTTTATTCTGACCCAGGTTTGACAGATAATCTTTGTATCTGGGTAGACCTGTCAGTCTACTTAGGTAACCTGTAGATCTACCTGTGGGTAACCCAGGTTGTACTTTTTAGAACAGATACAATTACTAATCTAAATCATGCAAAATCAATAATTTATCAAATCAACCAAGTAATAATTCAGTTAGTTTTTTCACCAGATGTTCTATTAAATAAAATTTTTATTTACTATAAACCCAATTTAATAATAAACCTGATTGATATTAAAATAGGTTACTATTGAAACTGGATTAACTCAAAATTTATGTTGAATTGAGCAAACTGATTGCATCTCAATAACATAACTAGATTGGTAAATTTGTATAAGTTACTCAGAGCAATGTAACAGATTATACAGAATTTTATAATGTTATAAAAATTTATAGTGAACCAAATTTTAAAACTGTTCACATAAATTAAGTGTTACTGTGCACAATATTCACATATTTTTAAGTTGAGATTTTATAACAGTAGTTAAATCACACCCTAATTAATTTTGCTAGCCAATCAGATTTCAAGACATGTGTAATATAAAAGAAGTTAAAAAAATTAAAATAACTAAAAAACGCTTGTAGTTTAAAATTTTGCCTATGAAAGTGCCTTCTGGGTACTAACAAAAATCTTCCTCGTGAAATTTTACCATAACTATAGCCCATTAAACCAATACTAATCTACTGGTGGGCTCTAACTCTAAACTATTCGTTTAATAGTTTTTTTTAATAAAATCACATAGTCAACGAAATTTTTTAGGGTTGTAATGCTAGACTGTTAAGATTTTATACACTGTAACCATACACTTCGTGATATTTACATATCACTCTATTCCTGGTAAAATAATAATCAGTTTTAAAAAAGCTTTAAAATTTTTTTGCAAAAATTATTCTATGAATATGTAATCTGGGGATCCCTGAGGTTTTTAAAAGTGGTTGTGTGCCAAATAATAATACAGTCAATGATTGGTACAAATTTCGCACTATAGAATTAAAAAAGAATTTTCCAATTGAAGATATTTTATCAAAAAGATAAATAATCTGTGTTATATGAATTTGAAAAACCCCGATTATAATATGCAAAGAGGAGTTTAATCTCCGTAATGTACAGTACGTACGTATGTAACTTTTATATAAATGCTTTGGTAAATTTCATCAAATAAATCACTACGTATCCCTAATTAATTGAATAATATTTTTATTTGTAGAGGCTAGAAAATTGGCAAAAACTTATACATTTTATAAAATAAATACATAGGATTTTTTAAATAATATTTTTACTATGTTGTATTAATTTGAAAAATTAAATAAGATTTTCTGATTTTAATTTACTGTATTTTTCAAAGCTTCACATTATACGAAACATATGTAACATATAAAGACCTTTAATAAATAACTTTCTCCATTGATAAATATGTTATTTTTAATTCTATTAACAATAAGCATGAATATGAAATTAATCTTGGGATTTTATATTTAACATTGGGTCATTATGTTGATTCACTTGATCAATTTAATTGTATTTTAGATATCAATTCTAAAAATTTAACTGCATTAATTCTCAGTGGTGCAACTTATTCTAAACTAGGAAGGTATGAAAATACACTTTCAGATGCAAATAGATCATTAGAAATAGAGCCTGCTAACCCAAGTTCTTTTATTTTACGTGGTAAAATGTACTTTATGTTAGGAAAATTTAATGAAGCTCTTATAGATTTCAATAAAGTATTGAAGATTAATCCGAATAATGCATATGTATTAACTCTTCATAGTAAAATTTATTTGAAATTCCAACTATACAGCAAGGCTCTTCTAGACTTTAAAATTGCATCAGAATTTGATCACAGTAATACTAAATCATTAGTACATCCTAATAATGCACTACAAAAACTTATAAATACACTATTGTTTCATGGAGAATCACTTTATTCATTAGAGCAATATGATAAATCTATTTATATTATAACAAAGCATTAGAAATTGATCCTTATAATTTGGTGGCATTATCTTTTCGTGGAAAAGTCTATTATTCATTAGAACAATATTATAAATTATTCCTGGATTTAAACAAAGCATTAGATATAAATCTATTGGATATAGCTAGCATGACAGAAGTTCGATTTATGTATATACATTACACAAGATTTTATATGTCAAAATTATTATTAGCAATATAGAAAAGTATATACATCATATAGTAACACATAAAAAACAATATCCAAATTTTTAAAGACTTGATTAGTTCGTTTTTTAGGTGTCCTGTATTCAATTTGTGAAAATAGATCTTTAAAGATCTCTAATGTTAAAGATTTTTATAAGGCACAAGTTTTTATAATTAATATTAATATATATGCATAATTAATTATTATTATTTTTTTTTTTAATAGTACTGATTCGAAAAAAGGTTTTAGCAGCAAAATTAAAAGTTTATTAGCAATTTATAAGTACCTTTACCAATACTTTATTTGCTCTATTTGTTCAGCTAGCTTAGACATAACATCAGATATTTCTTCTACATTTTCAGAGTTTTCTTCCATATCTTCTTCATTTTCGTTATCATCAAGATCTTCTTGTGTAAGTGAATTTGCTCCCTTTTCAATTCGTTTTAAAAATGAATTTATATTTTTGACAATTCCTTTTTTATAAAACTCTTCACAGTAACTACACCTCCTATTGTAACAAATCGTATGATAGCCGTGACCGCAAACAAACACTACACCATTATCATTGATAAACAGAAGTTTACAAAGATCACATAATTCGGGATGTAGAGAATACGATATACTGTATACCGTCGGTAAACGTCGCAAGTCTACCTCTTTATCTAGAGTTGCCAGTTTGTATATTTGGGGTGGTTTTTTTTTTTGTAGTAGCAGTGTTCTTGGTGATGTGCCCAGTAGTGCTCTTGGTGGTGCTTTTGGTAGTGCTTTTGGTACTGCTCTTGGTGCCGCTCTTGGTATCACTCTTGGTGGTGCTCTTGGTGGTGCCCTTGGTGGTATGTTTGGTGGTGTGTTCAGTGGTAATGCCTATAGTAGTGGTGCTCCTGGTAGTCTCGATAGTGGTGTTTTCAATACTGGTGTTCTTGGTAGTATTAAGTTTTGGAAAACTTTTTTCACGATTATAAAAAATGTTTTGAAAATATTGCAATAAAAAAAGACTGGTCTTATTAGATAAAAAATCGAGCATTTTAACATTATATGGGTAGTGTCGAGCTTTACAGTATGTATCCTTAAGATTGAGATCATGATTCATTACAACGTAGGCTCGTTTGATAATATTATCTACAGTTGCATTCGGTGATGTATTTGTCCTAATTTTGCTATGTGTATTTTTTACGTAATACTTATTGAAACTTGGCAAATGTTCTTGTAATACTTTCAAAAAAGGGTGACCCATATCCATCCAATAAAATAAGTCTGATA